CCAGACCTAGAGGGGACACGGGCTGTCGCATGGTAGCCCCACAGAGGCTGGTCCATTCCAGTTAATAGTCCACCACAAAAGATAGTAGCTCCGGCTATGATCCATTCACCAGGGCTGACGTGACGAACTTCAAACTCCTTGGTTAACCTGTGATTGAAGAAAGATTAAATAACAGTTATACTTACAATGGAAGCGAGGCATGATGGTTGTTGGCGGGCGGACTCTTGGTGATCAAGTAGAATGAGGACGAGGAAAATTGAGGATGAGGAAAACTTTCATCGAGTAGACTGGGGGAGCCCATAGCGAGGTGACGTCCCCAGCGAGGCTCGGAAGTAAAGAAGGAGCACGTTCATGGTAGTACGAATCAACCAAAACTGCCCGCTCATATTTGCCAAGCCTCGCTAAGGGCCCCCGGTCTACAAGCACAAATTGCTTAAAACGTTTAACCTAAACTTAAAATCGGATGGGAATCCACAAAGTCATAATTTCACAAAAAATCAAACTGCTGCAGGATAGCTAAGATCCAGCCCTAGGTACCAGGGATTTTATTTTTTGTTAGAAGCGAAAATTTGGAGATTCAATTGAATGTATACTCAAGGATTTTTGGTGATTGTGAAACGAGTTGCCAGATATTCGTGGCACAGAATACTAGGTAAAAGTAGTCGGTACTTGGTTGACTGGTGGGGTTGTCACAGAGCGGACTCTCATTGAACTAGCAATTTGGTGGGGTTGCCATTGATCCTGTTTCAAATGAATTTAAATTCCCTGAGGAGCAGTATGCAGTTGAACTTTCAAATTCTGCCAAGACCAAGTTTTCCCACCAAAAATGATGGTCTTGGCACAGATTTGAGGAAATTTTTGTTTCTCTTTGCTACTACTCCTCAGATAATTTAAATTCATTTGAGGTTTCAATAGAAGTCAAGCAGTCTACAACCCCCCTAAACATGCTATGAAGTTATCTTATTTTTAATTGTGATGTTAGTACTAGAATAAGTGTGTGAAATTAGCTGTTTTTGGTGTAAAATCCGACGTGCCCACTCACTTTTTCGGTGGCACTTGTACTATGAAATTGCTCTACAAGTATCATACCACCGCCCTGCCCCTGTCCTGACCCCCGCCCCCCTGTTTCGCTGAACCCTGTGTTTAAGCTCTTCATGCAGGGAATATGTCCAGTGAACGGGTTTCGTGGTGTAGTTGTAAGAGCACCCGGCGTGTGTGTGGTGTACCGTAGCCTACTGTACGTATACAGTGCTCGTACAGTATGATACTCGGGGTAAAGGTATAGTGTAATAGTAGCGGGTGCGCAAGCCTTATCCGATTCCCGCCGACAACAAACGAGCAGGTGTCCAGTCCGCTCCCCCCCCCCGGCGTGAAGACCACTCACTACCCATGTAATCCCCGAATCGGGAGACAAAAAAGAAAAGCTCACGAGAACCCCACTATGGTACTGGTCGTGTTGGATCTTTGTTAACCGATATCCACAATTCTGCCCTCATGGGGGCAAACGGGCAGTTTTTTGTTAATCACCATGTTCAGTACAGTACAGCACTATCCCGATATATGCTCTTCAAACGGGGCACGAGGAGAAGTGGCGGGTGGCGAACGAGGAACAGTCAGGGTGGATGGGTACAGTGCAGTACCGCACTTCCCAGCGAGAAACCGTCAGGCGCTATGCAGCGAGTTCAAACAAGAGGCGGCTGAGGTGATATATGCAATTCTTTCGGAAAGGTTGCCCTTTTTTTCCTTCGGATATGGGGCGGTGTAGCATAGGGTAGCACTTCCCCTTAGGAGGGCTTCGGCTACGGGCACAGAGTCCTAATGTGGCGTTTTATCGTGATTTCGGGACAAAAATGGGGGATAAAAATGTTGTGATACTTATTTTGAAGTTATGATACTTGTATGCTGTGCAAGCGGCTGACGGTATGATACTGTACAGTACACACTAGATAGTGGTTGGTAACGCAGGTATTTTTTTGTTACCCTACTTTAAAGAGCTGAGTTTTTCGGATCTAGAATGGTCTACGTACTGTACAAGTATAGTACTAGTATGTGTTCCCCAGTTTGTCACCTGGCGGTTTTCCTTCATGTCCTCCCGTTGAATGTTGGAGTTGGGGTTGGAGTTGGGGGTTGTCATGGGGGTTAGGCAAGTCCCGCAGGGTGGGGTTGGTGAAGATCCACACTCACCGGTATGATAGTAGGATACTGTAGTCGAGTAAGTTACGACATCGGATGGGATGTCCGGTTCCCGGGGAGGAAGGCT